TGTGTGTGTGTGTGTGTGTGTGCCTGTCCACCAGTCTCGAACGCCAATTGAGAACTCTCGACCTCTTTTCCCCATTCTATTATTTGACATTCAGTAAACTCAACCTTTTTTGCGGTTGATCCCTTCAAATCTAAAGACACAATTGCAACTTTGCTGCAACGGTGACCCGAGAAACCATTTTGTTTCCCTTGTCAGTGAGAACCCCATCTGTCTCTTTCCCACCCTTTGAGTGTATTTGCGTTACCCAGTATAACATCAATCCCACCACACTTCACAATACTGCCATTCACCAGTCACCACCACCACCATCACAGCCGCTTACCCTACCTTACGCACCTTGACACCCTTCACACTTCCACTCCCGTCCGCGCTTAATCCTACCTACCTACCTAACTCCTCCACCATTGAGGAATTAGGGATCATGTTTCTCGTGTTCATGAGCCCCACGTGCCGCCGGCAGCCCCGCTAACAGGTGAACCAGCTGCAGAAGAGAAGCAAGGAAGTAACCTGCCCGTTTGGCTGTAACGCCCGAGGACCCTCCGTTCGAAATCTTTTGTCAACCACAGCTGGCCCTGTCGTCTATCTGACGGGTCCTCCGACTTCTCGACAACATGTCCGGCGAAATGGCGAACGAGATCAAGCTCATCAGCGGAAGGAGCCACCCCGAGCTCAGCGAGAAGGTTGCGAAGCGGTATGCCTCTGCCTGTCTAGAATCTCGAATAATCCCGATATCGCGCATTGCGCCGTCCGTCCCAACAACAAACGAGCCGTCTCTAACCCGCTTTGTGTTTTGTCTTGTCGCAGACTCGGAATCGAGGTCGCTAGGACCATCTCCCTCAACTACTCGAACCAGGAAACCTCCTTCACCGTCGGCGAGTCGGTCCGCGACGAAGATGTCTTCATTATCCAGTCCACCGCCACCGGCGACGTCAACGAGGGCTTGATGGAGCTCCTCATCGCCATCTCGGCCTGCAGAACCGCCAGTGCTCGGAGGATAACGGCAGTCATGTAAGGACCTGATCCATCTATGGGCATGAACCTTCGCATGCGCATTCTTTTGCGCCAGCAGCCATTGGGGGCTTCTGTAGTACCCTGAGTGTGTTGGCGCAAAGGATTGGCGGAATGTTGCTTTTGCCTTGAAACCGGACTGACTGGACTGACTGACACTTTCAAGTCCCAACTTCCCCTACGCTCGCCAGGACAAGAAGGACAAGTCGCGCGCTCCTATTAGTGCCAGGCTTGTCGCCAACATGTTGCAGACCGCCGGTGCCAACCGTAAGCAGTTTGCCAGTTTCTAGAGAAGCTGTGTTCGCCGCTGACTGTGACTTTAGACATTGTCACCGTTGATCTCCATGCTTCTCAGGTATGTTCACTCTTTGTATGTGATCGTTAACTGGAGTCATGCGCTAACAATGTTTTTTTTGCAGATCCAAGGTATGCCCTCTCTAGCCGATCTCCTGAACTGAGCGATTGAACGGTGCCCACGAACTCGATATGGAATACGCACTAACGAATACCAAAAACGAAAAGGCTTCTTCAGCGTTCCCGTCGACAACCTGTATGCGGAGCCTTCTTTCCTCCGCTACATTCGCGAGAACTACAAGGCTGAGGACTGTGTGATCGTTTCCCCCGATGCCGGTGGTGCCAAGCGTGCTACCTCCATCGCCGACCACCTCAACACTGGCTTCGCTCTTATCCACAAGGAGCGCCCCCGCCCCAACGTCGTTGGTCGCATGGTAAGAAACAAGTTCCAAGCTGGTTAGGCTATAGGGCTGAAAGTTGACTGTGTGGACAATAGGTTCTTGTTGGTAACGTCGAGGACAAGATCGCCATCCTTGTCGATGACATGGCCGACACTTGCGGCACTCTCTGCAAGGCTGCTTCCGTCCTCAAGGAGAACGGCGCCAAGGCCGTCCTCGCTCTCGTTACCCACGGTATTCTCTCTGGTAACGCCATTGAGAACCTTAACGGCAGTGTCCTCGAGGCTCTCATCTGCACCAACACCGTCCCTCTCGGTGACAAGATTGAAAGGGTTAGTTCTAACTGCATGCTTCGTTTTCTTGAGTATTTGAGCCCCTACAGATGTCACAAGATTACTGACCACTTTCTTTGAAAACAGTGCCCCAAGATCCGCGCCATCGACATCTCCCCAACCATCGCCGAGGCTATCCGCCGCACACACAACGGCGAGTCGGTGTCCTATCTTTTCAACCACGCCCCTGTCTAAATCGCACAGGCAAGTCGGGATTGGTTTCACATCTCACAAGAATCATAACATAAGCCTACTAGGACTGGGTGAGGCTTTACAAAACATAGCATTCGGTAGGGGTTTCTTTTTTGCATCCAGTCTCGGTTAGAAAGGGTGGTTTTTACGTAACAAAAAAGAGGTGGGTTGGGTGTTGGTATACCTCGTTCGCTTTGACTTTTGAAAACGGGGGGGGAACACGGGGAGGGAAATGAATATTTCTCGTTACAAGGGGTTTGTCTTGTCTCTTTTTTTTTCCTTTCAATATCCTCCTCCACGGTGCATGGGTAGCAAAAAATAAAATGGTAGTATTGTTTTGGATGGCAACCCGTATGTGTGTTTGGATTTTCTCTGGAGACGGGGACGGGGACTGGGTCGGCGGTTACAGCAAGACAACCGAAGGTGTGAGTGAGTCGGCGAGTGGGATAGAAATCCCTGATGAAGTTTCGAGCGCTGCATGTTAAAGAGAGGAGGGTGGGTGGAGTGTCAGCGAGATAGCGGACCAGTTGTCAAAATGATCATACGAAGTGAGAGTGAGTAGGTAAATAGCAAACTATCATGTTCATTAGATACACGCACACAAGTCACTAACGCCAAAGTATTGTTGCCCAGTCTACAGCCGGTGTAACGATAACTACCCCCTGTCAGTCAGACGCGACAATAACAAAGACTCAGGGGTAAAATTCCGACGGACGACAGCAACCGCCAAGCATCATCATCAGCAGACCTGGTCTACTCTTTACCGCATACGGACACCATCGGGTACACAGTTCCAGCCCTATGAGGCGCGGTTGCGGAAGCTGGACGCGCCGACAGACTACATAGTAACACTCATGACCTTCTCGAGTTTCTCTCCCCTCCTCCGTCAAACTTCGAACCAACGACAACAACAACATCCCTCCAACACCATCATGTCAAACCCCGATCCACCCTGTATCTGCTGCAATCTCCGCCCTCCCTACCACATGTACTACGACAACAAGCCATTCGAGACAACACACTGGACACATCCACCTTCCGCCATCATAGCGTCAGCTGAAAAAAAAAAAAAAAAAAAAGGGTGCGTGTATTGCCGATTTGTTATCGATGCCATTCGGTATTTCGAGCCGGACGAGTTTCCGGTCGGTATCTCCAGCTTTGTCAGCCCCTCGGGGGGATGTTCTCTGCGAGTCTATTATACCACCAAGGGGGCGGTTGGGTGCAAGTTTATACGCCTATAGGTACGTACGTAGGTACGCACGTCTTTGAGGGTTCCATGAGTGGGATTGAAGAGATGGATGGGTAAGTAGATTTCTGAGAAGAAAAGGAACTGATAATGGTACATGTACATGACAGACCAAGTACCAGACCAGTCTGGCCAGGCATCACCCATGGTGCGGAACTTAGTCCGTCTCCGGTGAGCCTAGAGGCGTTCAACTTCATCCAGTCTTGTCTTCAAGCATGTAATGAGAGTCATGAAAACTGCTACAGCATGCTATTGTTAAAACCGCCGACACGGTTGATAGATGTCCAACCTCATGGTCTAAATTCGACATATGTTCGGCTGGTCGAGACTCAATCACACACACCACTCTAATCCTAGTGAATCAGGAGCATCGTTTCCATACATAGCCCTCAACTACTGCTGGGGCACAGGCAAACCACTGACCACCAAGACCGACAACTTCGCCGCTCTCAAAGCCGAATTCCCACTGTCCAGCCTCCCGCAAGCTCTCCAAGACGCCATAGTCATGACCCAAAAGATTGGCCAGCGGTATATCTGGAGGGACGCGCTCTGCATCATCCAAGCCTCGCCGACCGGTTGGGAAGTTGAAGCATCGCGCATGGCCTCGGTCTACCAGAATGCCTTTTTTGACAATTGTAGCCGACACTGCTGCAGCTTCTGATGAAGGGTTTCTTCAGCGGGGGCATCTTTCTGCCACCGAGTTCAAGAAACCGTTTTATGTTGCTTGGCCGCCGCTGTCGTCGACAGGTTCAAATCTAGCAATTACGAACGAAAAGCCAAAGCAAGACCAAAAACAAAAGCAACCCATCCTCGCAGCCCGCCTCGCCTTCTCCGACTTCGAACACTCCCACTCTCGCACGCGCGACAAGCTCCAACGGATTCCTAACCCGTGGGCCACCCGCGGCTGGACCTTTCAGGAACAGCTCCTATTCACAGGTTATGAACTCCGATGGATATGTCCGTCCGCTAGTCTGTGCGAGTGTACGTATCTCCAGCAGCAACACCAACAGGAGCAGGTGGACGCGGCAAGGATGGACCCCCTGGCCAGGCCCATCTTCCTCATCATGCTTTTGACTGAAAAGGAGGTGTATGATACTTGGCATGATATCGTGGAGGAGTATACGACGAGGAGCTTGACGTATGGGACGGATAGGCTGCCGGCCGTGAGTGGATTGGCGAGGGTTGTGGGGGAGAGGTTGGGGGTAATTGCGGCTGCGAAGGCAGGGAATAATAGCAAAAAACCGTCGTCGGGGTCGTCGGGGGGAAGGTACTTGGCTGGGTTATGGGAAGGGAACTAACAATGGATCTAACGTGGAGGGCTATGTTCGTTGCCAGTAAGAACTCTACTAGTACTTCTCACGAGAATCCTGCTACTGGGTCTGTATCTACTAAGTCAGAGTCAGAGTACATCGCCCCCACCTTCTCATGGGCATCCGTCACCAATCCCGTCTGCTGTCGTCTCAGCCAGCCGGAATGGACACCGCGGTGCGTTGTCGAGGACGCGGACTGCGTCGTTGTTGGTGTCAACCCGCTTGGTCGGGTCAAGAGCGGCTTCGTCACGCTGCGTGGACATCTGATGAAATCGACTTTGCTCGACCCGAACAAAGGAACTGGGGACTTATATTACGCTGAGCCTCCTGGATGGGGAGAGAGGTATCCTGATCAGTTACTCGAGGAGTTTGACGTGTTGCTACCGCCATCCTGCTAGGATGCCGGAAAACAGGTTGGGAAGGAGAGATCGGTTCGAGGGGCGCGCTGTTGGCCTTCTGGATCGAGTAGTGGTACCACTGGGGGAAAGAACGGCCCGCCGCCACAGAGAGCATAATCTGGTACTGAGGTGTACCTGTTTTTGCTTGGACAAACGCCTGGTAGTAGGATTAATGGGCGACTGAGGCTGGCGGTTTATTTCATCGTGCTGGGGTTGTTGGCAGACCACCCAGGGAAGCTTGAGAGAGTGGGGTGCGCTACCGGTGAGGTTGAGGAGGGCAAGCTGGAAGAGCTGCTCAGACTTTCTTCACGAGGAAGTGTGGTCACCGTGGTTTAGTTGTCTGGGAAGGCACTTACTTCTTTGGAGTAGTCGTCTAGTGGGTGGTTACTTGCCGGAACGCCGACTGTTGTCTGAGATTGTCGGCCGGAGGCACAAGATCGTTTGGGCAGCGGGGGTTGGGACGAACACTGGTTGTGTGGTTGCTTCCTCGTACACATATAGTCATGAGCACTGGATTCGCCTTCCCAAGCTGTTGCCCCGTACTAGGCAGCCAGATATCAGGCAAGTACATTCAATAATTTGAGAACCGACGAACTATCGTGGGCTCACAATAATAATTGCCACAAGACACCTCCTACGTCAGTTATGGTTCGGCATATCGCGAGAAAAGACATTCAACCGGTGGAAGAGTGGAAAACAACTGCCGCGGGATGGACAGAAAAGGAAAAAGGTATTATGTTTCGGCGAGAAGGAAAGTGGTAAAACTTAGCGAGTGAGTGGGTAGATGAGCAAAAAATACAAAAAGAATTGATTGGTCTCTCCCGCCGGGAATTGAACCCGGGTCTCGAGCGAATCGAACTGATGTTCAAGCTTGACAAGCTCACATACTGACCACTATACTACGGAAGATGTACAACTGTTAATCAGTTGTCGTAGTTGGTTGTTGGAAAACCGTCCGGCTGTAGGACTTGTAAAGGCGAAAGCATTTGACATTAGACATAGGTCAAAATGTGTGTCTCTTGCTGCTGTGCAATTGTCATATAACAACCACAGATAGAATGAATTGACTAATAGACATCGTGATGGAGACCATCGCTCAGACAAATCTACTTAGAGTGTCCTAGACAGGTTTTGGGAGCTGTACTGGCTAGTTGACTGCGATGAGTTCGACCGCGATGGAGATGTTGCGACATTGGACATTGCGGGTCCCTTTTCTCCATCTTCGTAGAAAACGACGCAGAGAGAGGCGACACAAGATACTGTATGTTATTAACACAGGCATGTTTTTTGTTTAACCCTTGTGCTCACTAAAGTACACCCATTAAACCAAGACATCCAGACAATTGCTTATCTTTTGCCGTTTACTGAACAATCGCCCATAAATCATCATCAATGAGGCGTGACCGACCAACCGACCGACCTGACCCGAACGTGAAGCTCCCCTTCACCCAGCCGATACCAATTTCCGCCCAGTAGTAGTGTCCGCCGTCTGCCATCCGCCTGGTAACCAACCGCCTGGTAACCAACCGCCTGGTAACCAACCGCCTGGTAACCAACCGCCTGGTAACCAACCGCCTTTGCCACACGCTTTTGGTTTTGAGTTTTCTCTCTCCTCACAAGACTCCGATAAAAACGAAAAGCCAAAACCATGGCAGTTAGTTATAACTGCGAAAACACCAACGCCAGCCAAACCGCTGTGAATGAAAAAGAAGAAAGTAAAAAGCAGGTATCCCAGGCCGTATGGAGCATTGTCGTGTATAAAAGCCCAGAAAGGGCACAGTATTTGTTACAGATGGTGTGACCAAAGAAAAGTGAATCAGAGGGCCAGGCCAGTCCCGTCGCCGGTCCATCTGTATAAAGCCAGCAGTTCTCTGCGGCGCTGGTGTTGTTCGCCAAGGTCCTCGGGCACGCGGCCGCGGACTTGTGCAAGGGCACTGCGCATCACCCTGCTGAAGTTACGCTGCAAGAAGAGAGAGTTAGCAAAGCGTCCAGAAGAGACTTGATATTGGGACAAAGATAACGTACCTGGTACTCCGTGTTCAGGGTAACCACGCAAGCCTCGTGCGCACGGATAATGGTCTCGCAAGCCTTGACCACACTTGGCGATGCCTCGAGTTGAAGTTTGTCTGCAATGAGCAGAAGGAGGAAGGAGCCTTGGAGGAGATATATGCCAAAGAAGAAAGGCATAAACTCCAGGCCAGGATCGTATTCAAGAATGTTGCTGATGGCCTCGGCAGCGGATACCGCATGTCCTGTAGCAGTAATGAAACCCTGACTACTGATCCAGAGGTCGTTGTCATCAAGAAGATTGATGGGATCCCACTTCCCAGTAAGGAGGATATGCAACACGTGCATAACGTGTGTGCCATAGGCCATGACAATGCGAGTCTGGATATCGCTTTCTGTCATCCGGCTGGAACTGGTATGTACGCTGTGTACACTTTGGACTGACGGTGTGCCAGCGTCATGGGGCACATCATTTGCGGTTGGAACACCGGCCGCCTCCGCAGCCTTCTCGTCAGCAGCCTGTGCTTGTGCACTAAGGCTGAGATTGCGACGCTCGAATCTCTTGATGCTCTCTTCATAGATTTCAAGATGGCGAGTAATTTCAGCTGTCTGATCGTCCCATTCACGGGATGAACGGAAGCCAACACCGAAGCGTGGGTGATTGCGAGCATGATGTAAGTCCACAACCTCGCCGAGGATAGTCATCAAGGGCAGGAAGTAGCCAAAAATGCTATGACCGGTGCAGACGAAAGATGGGCCACGATGCCGAACAACTGGAGTATTGGGATCTGAGGCCAGGACATTCGGATCGGTGTAAGCGTGAAAGTTCCCGTTCTGGTAGTCGGTATCATCCATGGGTTGCAAAAGACCGTCGCACTCGATGTCGAGGAGGAATAAAGGCCGGTTGTAACATAACGCAAGATGGCGGTCGACAATATAGACAAGCCACCAGATACGGCGCCTCTCCTCTCGTTCCTCCTCGGTAATCATGCCGGGAATGTTGCCCAATTCCCCGTCAACCTCGTTCCCACTGTTCTGCATCGAGGGTGAGTTTTGTGGCAATTCTCGGCCGAGCTTGAGCTCACGAGCTAGTGACCATGCGGCATTCCACCACCGCAAGCTGGCGCCTTTGTACTCGCTCGCAGAAACCACGGTGGCGAGGTGGATATAAGTCACCACATCGTCCAAGGTCCCTGCGGCGCCAAATGCGCCAGTCTCGCCAGTCAAGGCATCCATGCTGATCGATCCCGGAAGGGCCACACCGAGGCCACCCAGCGCCACTCCATCAACAATCGGGCTCGACACAGGTGAAGACTCCTCAGACGGGGTGTGGATCAGAGGCTTGAGGAGGCTCACTGTGAGCTCCAAGAGCTTTTGGCAAATTTTGCCGCGCGCCGACGGAACACTCGTCAAGAAGGGGGCGTCGCTGGTTTGAGCAGCAACCCATAGCATGCTTGCAAGAAGCGCGGGTTGGCATTGACGAGGTTTTGTAGGGTGCAAGAAGGATCGCTTTCGAAATACAAACCCCAGAACATAAGGTGACATGGGGTGCATCTGGGCCGAAGAGGAACTGGCGAAGTATAGATCAATGAGGTCGCATGCTAACGACACCGGCATTAGGTTGCCCAAGTGTGGTAGAAGTGGCTCCAACACGGGGTATCGCAACTGTGCATGGCTGTAGGTGGGCTGCGGAACATGTTGCGCGAACTGGGGTGGCGGTGAAGCTATGTTCATCCAACCAGGCGAAGTTGGCTCGCCAGCCATGGGATAAGCGTTCAACGAGCTGTTGCCAATGCGGAAACCACTTGATGTGTTTGCGGAATAGCCGGCCGGACTTTGAGTTTGCAGGGCGTATGGTAGATCCGGATAGTTGGACATGGCAGCCTGGTTCGAACCGTACGGCGCATGATGCGATGCGCCGTTCATCAGATGAGCACCCATTCCTTGACGATGATATTCCTGATGGACATTTCCGTAGCTGAGATCGAGGGCGGCTGGGCTTTCCAGATCTCTGTCCATAGCTCCCGGATGACTCGCGATGTGTGTCTGATGTGTCCCCATATCAATACTGTCCATACTCCCGGTCCTTTGACTCCTCATTGAATCTTCGGTCATGTCGCTCATTGTCTTGTCGTTTGAGGTTGATTGGTGTTCGATGGGTAAGGAAGAAGCTCGCTTTGCCGTCGTGGTACTTTCGCTTCGGGTTTCGGAGGATTGATCGTTTTCGCCGGCTTGACTCGGGGATTTTTGACCGTTTTGCTGGGCAGCGGCGGCTGCTGCTTGTGCCGCCAAGTCCTTTCTCGAAGCCTTTCCGCGCTTCTTTCGCTCCCGGATGTACTCGCAGCCAAGCCCGAATTCTAAATACTGTCAGACTATGCGTTGATATATTTCAAGACCCACGCTCTACTTACCAATGCAATGGGCGCATGGATGCTGGCCATCGCATTTTGTCCGCAGCTGATTACACTGATCACATGCTCTGCTTATCCGTCTACGAATGGGTCCGGCCGCTCCTGTTGCTCTCGTCACCGGTCCATAGGGATGTTGTCGGTGTTTTGGTTGAGGGCCTGCCCTTGCTAGATGGTGGTTGTGAACATTCACGTGCTGCTGAAGTTGTTGAAGAGCATAATGAGAACCAGGGCCCATGCTGTCGAGACCAGCGGCATGGAGGTGGCCGGCTGAGACATGTCCGCCAGATAGCATGGTAGGAGATGGCATAGCATGGTAAGGGCCGAACCGGTGAAGTGGATTGGACAGCATCTTGGCCGAACAAGTAGCGTTGGTGATAGGTATGGGAATAGGGGGGAACGGGCGGAGTGAGGCCTTTGAGCCGTTGGATCAGAGATGGATGCTTCGAGCGAGAGCAGGCAGTTGGTTGAAGCTCCGTAGTGTGCCAGTCGTAGTCAGAGGTGATAAGAATGTCGTCGGCGAGGATGGGGAGGTGAGCGCTATCTATATTCTAACCCTTGGCGCAAAAGCTCGATGAGCTGCCGGGCGGGAGCCAGACTGGTCAGCAGTAGTCTAACAGGGGGAGACTAGAATTCAGTGTGGGGAAGCCCAGGGACGGGACAGGAGCGTAGGGTAGGTAGCAGAAGGGGCACCACGATGCGGGAGAGATCAACACGGGTGTGGGGAAAGGCCGGTACAGTCCCTCTGCACGAAGGAAGTAGAGCCAGTACAACATGGCGGGGTTTGGGTATAAGAGAAGCTGGCCAGGTGGCGGCCCAGAAGCAGGGGAAAGCAGACGGGATCAAAACGGCCCCCGTTGAGAACGTGGTCGTGATGATGGTGTAGGTGGTACGCAGAGAAGAGGGTGTGTGGACGTACATGGCGCAGAACGTGGTTCGAGACAGGACGGCCGGGAGATGCCTGGGCTGGGGAGTGGTGTTTTCGCTCTCCCGAGCCCGTCAGTTAGGGGTGAGACTTTGGTCGCGATGGTCGCGGTCTTGCAGTTGTCGTCCCTCGTGGTTGTGGTCCGGACCGGGTGACTGTCTGAATCTTCAGCCTCCAACTATATGCCGTATAGTGGTGGAGAGGGGCCGGAGGGAGCAGAGGATGCCAAAAGGGCTAAAGGAGGCCGGATTCGTACAGGGAAAGACGTCGGTAATTTTTCTTTGGAGCGGTTCCTGCTTCTTGGATGCACTTTGAACAAGAGTCTATGTATGCTTGGCGTGCATATACAACATGAGGTTGACGACGAGGTCGATGACCATTGACCAGACCAGATCCAATTGGCGGGCGCGCCTCCTTTCTGGGCCAGAGACAATATACGAAGGTAACGAGCTTATATTGCGAGGGCAATATACAGGGGCGGCGGACGGGTGAGGCCTGGGGAAACGTGAGCAAGAGTTGGAGAAGGCGAATCTGTGTCAAGCGCAAAAGAGCAAGTAGCGCTGGCTAGGTAGGTTGCTGGGAGGAGGACTGGGAGGAGGACTGGGAGAGGGAAAATTATGACAGCGGATTTCTGGCGCAATTCCTTCAGGGAAAGTGGAAGCCGCTGCCTCAGGGTTCACTTGGTGATATATGGACCATCTTCCCTCCAGACAGCGGAGCACTCCCGGAACGGGTTGGCCTACTGGCAGGGATGCCTGGGGAACTGGTTTCGTGTGGAGAAAAGAAGTCTTGTGTGTCTGCATCATGGTAGTAGTGACGGGTGGTGGCCCCCCAGAAGAACCATTAAAGAACGGTGTATGTATGTACATACAGCGAACCATTGCCCAACCCAAGCCGCTAACAAGGCGGAAAATGCAACGAGTGGTGATTCAATTGCCAGTATCAGGGGCGAACAACCTATTGCGTTGAGAAATGCGAGTGCCGGTAGTGCTTCTTGTCATGATCCCAACACTTGTTGACATATCTGACACTGTCTGACTTTCTCTCCTTGATCTCGTGGACACTATCACTTGAACACGTAGGGGACTGTGCCATCCTGGTGTGTAGCATGTCATAGACTTCAGATGAAGCTCGAGGATGGATTCGTCTCAACTTTGAACAGATGGGAATTTGGAGTAAAGTAGGTTGAAACACCGGGGACTCGGTGGCTGACCGGTCAATAGCGTACTGCGTGTGTGATGGCGCTGAAGGATGGCAGGATTTAGGGACAACAGCGCTTACTGATTGGTATTTCCTCACCTGCACCATCCCCTCCTGTTCTCTCTTCGCGTTTTCTCCTCACGGCATTGTCTTTGACCATCATAAATCCGTCCGTTGCTTTCCAAGTCCCAACAACAGAAGCTCGCTTCCCAATCACTTGACTAGGCACCTAGAAGCGAGGAGAAATCGAGAACGAGACTCTCTTGTGCGGCCAAACGATGGCGTTACTGCGGAATGGTGCAATGGGCCCTGCAACCCCCTGCCGCTCAAGCGCTGCCGGCCCCTCCTCAGTGCTCCCCTCCTGGTTCGGCACCAAGTTGTAGGGGGTTTGGCTGCGAAAGCGCGGCATGGTCTTGAGAACAGAAAGAGATGGACTTGGCCATTCAGATCGGTTCCGCCCCCTGCTGTCTCCAAGCATAGGGTAACCTTGTCACCGGCCCTGCCATGCCTCGTTCTGGTCGTCTCTTGTGTAGCGTACCTAGGTTCTGTCCATGGTCGCCGTACATTACTTGTAGGTATATGTGCCTGCTGTAATGGTGAACAGCAGTAACCAAGAGACTCTGGCCGTTGCGATCGCCAAAACATTCCGACTCTGGGGAGGGGGAAAAGCGGAGGTGTCGAGGTACGGTACCTGTAGCCCGCTTGTAGCCCGTCGCTTACTCCATGTTTTTGTGTCGGGCCACTCCGGGGCAACATGTGGGTTTAGTGGGGAAGAATGGAGGCGTTTGGACAGCCTTTGTCCACACAGAAGTCGTTGGTGGAATATGACCGGCAGTGGTGTCTTTTGGGAGATATCCACCTCCTCCTGGGGCGCCCGCTGTGTGGTTGGATTGTTGGAAGTGGAAGCTTCTCTGACCCCGGACTTGCTGGCGTGCTATGAGACGTGCCCTGAGCGCGAGAGCGGAAACTTCGCACTCCAGGCAGGCCATCAAACTTGATCCGGATGGGTGGGAACTGACCCAGCTCGCCCAGCGCCCGACTAGGCAAGTCGCTGGAGGCATTGGTTGCGGCAATGCGGTACAGTGTCAGAGTGTCAGAGTGTCCTTGTTTTGTAATGGAGGGTGGCAGCCAGACAGAATCACACCCGCCCTCACCTCACGGGAACCTGACCTTAAGTAAAAGATGGTTTTTTTCGAGGTGTTGTGAACTGGATGTTGTTGTCTGGCGGCTGGAGTCAGGACGACTCAAGAGAGTGTGATGTGAGGTGGAGCAAAAGGATGTTTTCGGTGGAATGTCTCCACGGCGCGTTTTTCGGGTTTTCTGGAGTTTTCTGGGGTCACGGAAATCGTGGGATGGGGAGTGGGGGAGGCTCGGGGCAAACTGTGGGTGAAGAAAGGCTGGAGAGCGGGCGAGAGCCAAAAGACCTACCAAGCCGATCCGGCTAAGTATCGCGGAGTATCCACAAGTATCCACTCACAACGACTTGGCGGGAGCCACCTGTAAATTTTTGTAGGTCATGTTCGGCCAGTGCGCCGCTGCTTGCCAGCTTCCGACTGGTGACAACGAACTTCCAACATGGCGCGCTCTTTCCCCTGCCACACCTGTGTGCCTTCCTGGATGGGATGCTTCGCGATGACGATGGTGCGCGACTCGGTAGCGGCCGAAAACAACGGGACCACTGGCAGCTACCTAGGTACTAGCTTCTCAGGTCTCAGCTGGCTGCTGCAGCACTCCGTCACTGAAGGCAGCCACAGCAACCCAAACATCAAACCAGCACCGGTCTCGCCAGTCTTCTGTCTATCAAAACATGACCCTCATCGGCTACCTCTACATGTCCAAGACATCAACTCCAATGGAAGTCCAAGCTGGACCAACGAAAGCGAGCGCATTGCGCACATCAAAGTTGAATTAAACTCGGCCTCAGTGGCCTGGTTCATCCTTTCCTCCTTGGTCTCCTGTTCGATATGCTCTCCACATCTGGGGAGCCCAGGGGCCCAGAACAGGCCATGGATGTCCATCCTTCCATACTCTGAGCAGGTGAGGCAGATGCATCTGCGGAATCGAAACAACTTAACACCACCACTTCATTTATGCAAAGGCGATGAACTTGACGAAAGAAGGAGCCCATTTCCTTTCTTTAATATGCTCCTGCATCAAATATCGCCCGCTTACTTTCCTGGTCTACGGGTGGACAGATGATGGACGGTGCCACTTCTCAATTTCGACCTAGATTCCTTTTCTCACTCCTGGGTCGGTGACGAGGATCCCCAACATGAACAAGGCCTTCTGGAAATTACACTTGGGCTGCCTGAGTCGTGCGTCCCGATGCCCATCCGTCCTTGGAACCTGAAATTACGGATTTGTCTGGGCTCGTTTCTTGTTCCTGATACTGTTTATTCTGTCAATATCAGACTCAGTCTTGTTACTTTTCAATCTTTTACCTACACATCGACCGACACAGGGGGCGAGAGCGGCTTCCATGGTCGAATCTTGTGGTGTTGCACGCCTATTCAGTTACCAACAGGGTCACATTCCCGTCCGGCAGTCGTTCAACACGCCAGCGCAGGCATTCCAACTCTACACTACCAACCCGTACACTTTAGTGGTGTACTTCGCAGGCACTCACAAAGGCGCTAGGGCTAGGGGACATGTCTTCGACACCAACGATCAGTGTGCTCCAACGCTCGTCATCACCTGTGGATGCTGTCTTCGAACAACGGTGTTGCATATCACTTCCCAATTCGCCAAAGCCCTCCGTTCCCGATCGCTTAAGTGTATAAGATCAGACGAATGTGGCCGGAGCAAGCAACTTGCAATGTTGTGATGCGAACTGCTACCACCAGAGCTTTTTGAAACCAGAGTCTTCAAAGAAACCGAGTTGGATGAGATACAAAAACATACATGCAGTACAGCCCGTACCTACATGTACATATTCCGATGCCACCGTCCCATGGCGAGCGCCGCCGACTTGCAGCCACTACAGTAGATATGTATGCAGCACCCATCTGCAACAACGTCACAGAATTCCCATGTTGCAAGATTGCATTTGGCTGGTGGCGTCTGGCCCGCTCTCGACTAAACCTAAGAGGTGCCTGAGAATTAAATTGACCACACTGCTATTCACTCAAGGTCCGTAAGGAAGACGGCGCTCACTGGAGGCATCCGTCCATTTTCCTGGTATTTGCGGTGCCGTACCCTTCGGATAAGAAGCTGGCCTCCATAATCTC